AACATAGTGTTTTCATCTAACTCCCTGAACCATGACAACGTCGTTAGATGAATAAAATCATATGTCTCCTGTTAGCCCGCAAATTAAGTAAGGCTCCATGTATTACATAGCTGCATCGACAGATCTAGCAATCCTGTGGCCAAGAACGATTCTGGTTTTGGACCCCGGTTGTTGCAGCTTCTGTCAGTAACTCCATCCCTTCTCACTCTGCACCTGGACTAGATTCTCGGCATACCTCACGTAACATTGCAGACGTGGCTGTGGAAGCCTGTAATCCACGTATATTGCACAGACGTCTTCGAGTTCTGTCCTTACAGAGCACTGTTAACACGCAAATAGGGGCTGGCGTGTCACGTGGGAGTGCAAGTCAGCGTAACTGCTTGCAGTGGAATAAAATTGCAGGACAAGTTGCTCTTTAACTGCAGAGTATCTGCAGCGTCATCCGAGCCAGTTAACATAAAGCAGAGATGTTGCAGTTGTTTGAGGTTCAGGGCTACTATTGCTGCTGTCTGAAGGTCTGGCACCTTCCTCTAGTTTGTAGTGGCTTCTAGGATGTTACAGTGGTGGGACCATATGTGTAGCTAGGCAGATATAATTGAAGGCAGTCCTTGCTATGTCCAGTAACTCTGTGGCTACCTGTTTGCCACTCTCCTTCTCCGAAATGGCTGCTCTGGGGGAAGTACTTCAGTCATGGAAAAGGAGCTCCTGTTTCTGGCAGTGTGACCTTCAGGACAATGCCAGGCTGCCAATCCGGAAAGCTGTCCAAGCTATTTGCAATTGCTTGTGATCAAGCCTCAGGTCCCCAGAGATGGTCACCCATGATGCAAAGGGCGGTGGTTGTTCACCCGTCCTACCGAAATAGTAAGAATTTGTCAGGCTGGGCAGGGCAGGGTGTGGTGGTAATCCAGTTCTTTTCTAATCTAAGCGGATCTGTCTTTGTCTGCTCCTATGTCGCATGGGGTGCATTGTGCTTCCTGCTAAGGATGGCTGGCCAGTTAGACACCTGATGTTAAAATGAATGGAAATGGTTAACAGATGCTGCCAGCTCTCCAGGGAATTTGTTCAGCATTGCTTTACGCTTGACTAATATCTGCTTCTTTCCTTCTGCATTCTGCCTGTCACTGCAGATGGGAGAGGACACTCAATGGGTAATTGGTTCCTGTTCTCGCTGTCTGCCTCCTTTCTCTTCGTTACTCATACACATCACTGTTATCACCTCCATCTTTTGAGTTCATATTAAAATTCCCTCCCTGCTCTCTCCCCTCCCCCCCCCCCCCACCGCAGAGGGAGCAGGCAGACGTTTATAGATACCTAGGAAAGATGGGGGCAGGGGAAGCAGTATCAAGTCAACAGGTGCTCCAGCTGAGACTGATCTTCGTGTGCATAGGTTGTCCTGGGCTCAATTGGGAACCTGTTGCATTTCTTCTGCATCAATCACAATTTAAACCAGGTGTGTCACAGTTTCCCTCTCCAACACACTGCATAGACAGCGGTGCCTCTGTCGAAGAGGTCTCGGGCTATGTCTAACAACGAGGTAGGGGTGTGATCCCGCTGCTGGTGTACACATCGCAGCGTAACCGCGGTAGCAGCAGCAGAGGCACCTCTCAGCCATGCCATGCATGCCAGTGTCAGGTGCAAGTATGTGTACATGAGCCGGGGAGTTACAGCTCTAGGTCATAGTGGGGCATCGCCTTTGTCTGTCCCAGGGCCTCCGGGCCTCTGGGCTGGCACAGAAGTTGGCATATTATGCATCAGCTGAGTTTTGTCCTGTGCATATGAACCAACGGAGGCCTTCGCATTGCTGTGCAGAGAACCTTCAAGGTGGGTTGAGAGAGACTGAGAGGCATCAGAGGGACGTAGGTCAAAGCTGCTTCTGTTTGGAAAGACATGGCCAGGAGGCAGCAATTCAAGGGGATGAAAGCAAATAAAACGTTTAAGGAGGGGTAAGGGAAATTCGCTAGGCCAGAAACCCTGCCTCACATTTCCTTGGCCCTCAGCAATGAGAAATAGGTGCTCCTGCTCCTCTCTCTCTCAGGCCTTTGTAGTCCATGCAGAACATATCCCTTCACCACCACTGGCAGGAGGACTGCCTTTAATCTGTCTCCTTTCCTTCAACCTGTCTGGCATGGGTGATCCCTACAAGGAATTATGTTCCCACCACATAGTTCTCGGGGTCAGGGATTGCACCTTGATGTATTGGGAAGGCTTCTGTGCCTGCTCTGATGGAGAACCATAAATCTGTAATTCCTTCAAAGAGGAGACTGCAGTCGGGAGCTCCTGATATTTACAAGCCGTGCTTTGTCCAATCTCTCAGAGATTTCCCACTGCACTCGCAGACCGGCAGCGCACAGCGCGGTTGCCAGCGTTTCAAAGAATTGATTGTTGTCTTTCAAGCTTGAATTTCGAGCCTGTGGCTTTCCAAGATGAGCTGAGTAAGAAACTGATAAAAAGCTGATAAACATCTGTCTCAATTATGCAGAATTATTCCCAATCATTTCCATAGTACTTTATATAAGATCTTTGCTGCATGATGGGAGTGTTTTCTTTTCTTTTCTCTTTCATCAGACAAGGGTCCCAGAAACTCCACTCCCCTGCAATAACATTTAGAAATGAGTCTGTTATGACCAGTCTTGCAGCTTTTCCTTCCATTTGTTCTCGGTTTGTTTTTTTCCCCTGGACTTCGCTGCTTTTTTGAGTGCAGAGCTGGCTGACACCTACAAGCAAGAATATAAAGTGAGAGAAGGTGTAATAGTTACATGCAATTATGTGGCAAGCCAGTCCTAATGCAGACGTGTTCAGGTCTTTTCTTCTACGATATGGCTCAGACTGAGAGAGCTGTTTGAATAGCAGTCCCCTGCTGTGTCAGACGGGCCTATTCGAATGGTTAGGAACTCGGCAGCCAGAAGATTAATAAACCCCATTTTGCAAGCTCAGTATTAATCGGCGTTTGGGGCCTTTCAACGCTCCTCTTATTTCACACTAGAATCATTCACCTCGTCTGTTGTCTCTGACGTAAACCGGGAGAAATGATCACTTGAGCCCTGCACACTTGTAGGCTGAAAAAGAATGGAGCTCCATGCTGCTTCCTGTGAATGCCAGCAGCTCTCTCTCGGTGTGGGGGCCTGGAGGATTGTGCTACCGGGTTGCAGACCTGGGTTTTGGAGTGATTTTGGTGCAAGCTTCATTAGACAGGGCGCGTTTAGATTTTCTGGCCAGGAGAGAGGCTAGTGCAATTTTGCAATGTTCTTTAATGCCCCTTTAGCGGTAGGCAGCATTGTGTCTTTAGAACTAGGCGGCTACCGTAGGAGATGGAAGGATATACCCGAGAGAGGTAGGGGGGCTGGAACAGTTTGTATAGTGGGGGAGCTGAGAGCCATTGAACCAAACTAAACCGTGTATATGATGGAATCCACTTCAAGCCAGAGAGTGGGGCAGCACCTATAGAAAGAGGGGAAACCCAGCGCAACGAAGGGGTTGGTAAAAGCCAGAGGATTTCAGGTGGCCGTGCTGTCATCCAATAGGGTCCTGCCTTTGACTTGAAAAAGGCCTCCAAGCTTGTTCCCAAGCCAACGTATTTGTATCCACTTCAGGAAAAAAGCAATTGGTTAATATGCCATCTGTTGGCCAATTTAAAATACAAACACACACTTGCCATGAGAGCTGCCAGAAAGTGCGGCGGTAACAGCCAAGAACAAGTGCCATATGGTGGGGATGGGATGTACATGAGCCCTGCAGATTCTGAGCTTGCACCGCTCCAGGGCCTGCTCTGGGCCGTGTTGTCGCGCTTCGTTCTTCTCCTCCATGAGCACTGGACCAAGCACACATGGATCTTCGATGATCCCATTTGACTAATAGCCCCACATACCTCTGGGCCAAACTTAGCTGCAGAGCCTTCCATATGACATTCTGTGTTGTCCCAGCAAGCCAACCCTTCCCCATGTGATTGTCACTGCATTTTTCCATGTGCGCTCTTGTTCTTTTCGGTGGTGGTCTGTCTTTGTGGTCAGAGCGTGTGTCTTGTGTCCTGTGTGTGACTGGAAAACTGTGTGGTGAGATACGTAGCGCTGCCCTGTTAGCAAAAGCTTGTGAGCTAAGATAAGTCTGCAGAATGAGGATCTATGGTAGATATTCAGTATGGATCAACATTGCCTCATTAGTTATAAATATTGATGGAATTGAGAGATGCGCCGTGCAGGAGCACTGCGATACCAATAGTATTACTTGTACCTGTGTTCAGGTAGATATCCCCATGGGATCACAGGTTTTGGTCACCTCTGCTGACCCCAGCACTGAATTTTCTCTTGAAAACCCAGAAATTGTATCATGGGCTTTACCCCTTTCAGACAAACAATCTTAACATTTTTCAAGGGAAGTTCATGGAAGGCTTAAAGGTAAACTGCAAAGGCATGGTGATTCAGCAGGGAAGGACAGCAGAAATGAAAATTTAAAATAAGGTGGTTCTGAAAGGAGCACGTTGAACAATTTTAGCTGCCCCAAATGGCAGCTTGGTAGCTTCAAGAAGATCATTATTAAAATACTGGATTACTTTTTTCTCAAAAGTCAGGTCTCTTTTCGCTGTAGAGCAGGCCCCAACAGACCACTAGGAGCTCTTCCGTTTTCCATATCGGGTAACTGAATCCCCTAGGGAAAGCATGTACTTCTGAGCTTGCACGAGCAGGGGTCATACTGGAAGTCCATATCCCTCTCTCTGGATATTAAAATTAGTCACACATTAAAAGGATACAGCTGAGATGTGTTTAAATAATTGTGAAGTCTTTGCTTTTTCTGCACTCTAGAAACTACTCCCTAGAACCCCAAAGCTTGTCAGTTTTATCTTCCATCATGGTTACCCCTACTGGATTTTGGTAGCTGACATGGAAAAGCACTTGTGCATGAAACACATGAAGAATTGCACAGACTTTGAAAAATAGATGATAGGTCAGAGATTGGATTGGCTTTTTAATTGATCAACCTTCAAAGTACTCTTTTTTTTTTTTAAGATGTGGACTCAGTCCCAGTGGGAAGATGGATTGAAACATGTTTATCTGAAACATTACAAGGTGTTAGTTTATTCACCAGCTTCTTCTCTAAGCAGTTTTATTAGCTTAAGAAACCCCCACTGTATGTGCTTTCACAACACACAGTGTTCATCTGTCCTGTGCATGGTGAGTGCATGAGATGTGTTTGCAGCGGTTCAGTTGAGTGAACTGCAAACTCTATCCTTGGTATCCAATACCTAGCTTAAATGAACTCTGCCTTTCTCTTCTCTCTCTCCTTTCTCTCTTTCAGCTTGGCAGTGACCTTGGCGGGGGCATTGGAGGAAGTCCGGCAGTAAGTGCCATCAATTTTTTTCCAGTAAAAAAAGCTCCCCCTAATATAATAATTCTGATATACTCTTTCCCCCACACACTGCTGCTTTACTAAAACCAGCGTGTTTGTGAAAACAGACGGTTATCACCATAGTGAGTGGTAGTGGATCCTTCCAAAGTGTTCGGGTCCCCAGGTGAGTTCTTCAGGACTGGAGCTGCCATCTCTGGAGAGAGTGTCCCCCTCTCCTGACTCTGAGCAAAAGGAGGCAGAGCTATTGTCTTCATTAGAATGGCCCTGGTCTCCTGCTGTTTATAACGAAGTCCTTCAGGGAAATAACCGAAGTTCTCTAGCAGAGGCTTTCCGTTCCTGGCGAGCAAATGGGACTAGATCTCCAGTCTGCAGAGGAGTGAACCGTTCTTGATCATGGTACTAAGACTAGAGAGAGCTCCTGCTCTGCTGGGATGGCATGACCCTCTGCCCCCAGCTGGATCATGGCTCCACCACAATTTCTGGATATGCAAAGTCCTTTGGTATGAATTCAGTGCAATCATGGCAATCAGCATGGAGAAAGGAAAAGGATTTAGATTATCTTGTCCTTTTGCCAGGCATATGCAGTCTTGTTCCCTAAAGTGTATCCTCTTGAGCCTAGAGGTCTTTTTTTTCTCTACATAGGGGGGAGGGGGGACCACTAGTGGTGGTTTCAAGGATATCATGTGGTTAAGGTGACAGCGCAGATTGCAGGGATTAGTCTCCAAGAGCATTGGAATACAAATGCATTATTTAGCACTCTTGATAATTCAGCAGGGAAGCTGTAAAGTGCTTTAAAATATTCAGGATATTGCCCAAATTCATGCCTTGCTTAATAAGCAGCATTCTACATGTGCATTGTTCATCGCTCCCCTTTCTTCCTAATTCTTGCAGGTGGGACAGACCTTCATTCCATCCTCTGTGCCTGCGACTTTTGCCCCTTCACCCACCCCCGCTGTGGTTAGCAGTGGACTCAACGACCTGTTCGAACTCTCTACTGGTATCGGCATGGTGCCTGGGGGATACGTGGCTCCGAAATCTGTACGTAAGAGAGACGCTGGTACAGTACGTTGTTCACCAATGATACAGCTTAGGCAGCATGGAGATAACGAGGCTGTTCAGTTGTCCCCTTCATGCTCTTTGGAGATATGGGATGGACTACCTGAGCTATGTTCCATTAGATATATCTTATGTTTCCCCCAGAGTGACAGCGATTGTTGAAGGACAAATCTAACCGGCTCTAGACTTTCTGTTTTCAGCATTTCCCTACTATTGCCAGTAAGGTAATGTTACTGTAAGGAAGGATTTGTGGGAGCTGCAAAAATTTGAACTTTGCCACTTTCCCCATTGGACAGCTACTAACTAGATGCCCTGTAGCAGGATTCCAAGATTTCACCCCACTGTCCAACCATCCGTGCTGATCAATAAACAGAAAATCCATTTGTATGAGGGGAGTCCTATTTACGAGGGATTAAAATAAATCGGTGGTTGGACTGAGCACCGTGTTAGTGGGCGCCCTGGATTTGCACCTGATTGTAGAAGAGAAAGATGGTGAAAGCTCTGACTGAACCGTTATCTTTATTATTAATCCAATTATTGATGATCCTTCAGTATCAGCAGAACTTGGTCCGTTAACAAGGCTTTGGCCGAACTAGAATAGCCAATGTGAAGCTAGGTCTCTGGGGGAAGCATGTCATTTCAGAGCAGCTGTTGGAATGTGGTATTTAGTTTTTCCATGCCCTGGGTGTCACTGAGGGATGGAGTTCTTCCTTGTGGCACCAATGTGTTCACCTTCTTCCTGTTTGGAGCTGCCATTTAGTAAAACTTTTGTTAATCTCAGTGAATAACCAACCAATAATTATTGTTTACAATAATATAAAACCCATGTGCATAAACTGCTCTGCCCCTTATGCCAAGCTTCCAGCATTTGGCTGCTTGCTGGTACTATGCCAAATAAAAGATTGTGTACAGAGGTCCCACCAAGTATCAAGATTAAAAACCACTATCCGCTGCTCAACCAATCACATTGACATTGAGCATTCTCCACAAAGCACGTCTGCCTAGATGTGCTCTCAGACCAAATCCTGAGCATAATGAACCGGTCTGACTTTGTGTGAAACATGATAATCACACAGCGAGCTGGCCTTCCTTCAAAAGCTGGTTGTATTCACAATAGCATTGCCTGCTCTTTGGTCATGTTACCAGGATGAACAAAAACACCCCAGGATGCCCTCAAAGGCTCCATCAGGGGCTGACGCTACCTGGCATTGCCTGCTAGGCCATTCCAGATATTCGTAAATTTACAGATTGAGCCAGATCTGGGAATTTCACTACATGAGGCCTGCTGTGACACCATCAACCGTGGTCATTCTGGCTGGTGCAACAGTCCTCATTAGTCTGTGTTTGCTGATGCTCACGATTCCCCCACAAAAGTTCTTCAGGAACAGATAAGAGCACCAGCCCCGTGATTGTACTTGGTTCAGTCTTCAGGATTATCCCAGCACATTCCCTGGAGGAATCTGCCTTTTCAAGAGACCAGTCAGTCCTGGACACCAGCCCCCTTCCATTTCTGTGCACGTTGGTGTTATCGAATGTTTCAAAGCTCCAACGGGAGCTTTGTAAACGAATAGGGTTTTATCAATGGAATAGGAGCAGCAGGTTTGGTGTTGCTCATTGGTGAGCCTGATTGTTTTAGATTCCTTTGCTCCACGTGCAGCGTACTCTGTCAGCATTTATGGACACTAACAGTTGCCGAATGAATGGATTGCACGACTCAGGACCTTTCTTTCAAATGTTTAAAAACTCTGTAGGGTTCACTGGGTTTCTCCAAGCTGGGCTGGGCTGGTTCTGAGCAGGATTTCTTGTTGTATTTCAGGTTTGGCTGCCGGCAGTGAAGGCTAAAGGCCTGGAGATCTCTGGGACATTCACTCACAGGCAGGGACACATCTACATGGAAATGAACTTCACCAATAAGGCTTTGCAGCACATGACTGATTTTGCGATTCAGTTTAATAAGAACAGGTAAGAAACCCACATGACCTTGGTAGGGAAGTGGCAAGGTCCTAGAGAGGGCTCCTGGCTCAGTTTCCCGGTTCTAGACATGGGCGCGAGTGACCTGTGGTTCCCAGCCTGCTGCTCGTGACCTAGGGCACAATTTTCATTGGCATTGTGGGATTTAAAACAAATCCAGACACACGCATGGGCTCTTTCATTGGCTGGATGTTGTAAGTCCCAAACCACTAAATAGGATTAAACTATCCTTCTTGATCTATCCGGTTAGTCATCTGCGGGCTACCGTTGGCCCCTTGCTAACTAAATCATCTTCCATTCACTGGCTGAACCGCAAATGAAGGGTAAAAAGATAAGAGGGACAAACAACTGTTCTAAAACTTCCACTGAAAACATTTCTAGATCGACAGTAATACAATGAAAAATTAATGGCAATGATTTGTCATTAAAACCTCCCCAATTTATGGGATCGTTAGTTACCTGTACTTTTTAACCTATGGGTGCAGGCCACCAGAGTCAAAGCATAGCCGACATCATGGTGAGATTTCTCTTCATCACCTCTTCTACATGCAGTCAGGGCAAGCACTGTGTATATGTTCTACCTAGAGGCCGAGATTGCTTTGTTAGGTTAAATGCTGGAGGTGGCGAACTTTTTTGAGAAGGCTCATAGCTGCTGTGCGTGGGACTTTCAAGAGTGCTCTGTGTTGGCCCAGCAGTTCTCCCCATGAGGTCAATAGTAAAACTTCCGCTGGTTTCAGTAGAAGCAGAGTTAAGTCAGCACTGGGTGGCTTTGAAAACTGCACCCTGTGTGTCTAGTAACTGTAGCATGCGCGTCTGACACATTCTGAAAACGAGTTCATTTCCGGGCAAAGCCACAGAACAGCCCATAGTAACCCAACTGAGAATCTAACTGGCTTAGGTGAGCGTATAGAGCGGGGAAAATGTTACCTCTTAGGGCTGGTCTACACTGGGGGGGGATCGATCTAAGATACGCAACTTCAGCTACAAGAATAGCATAGCTGAAGTCGACGTATCTTAGATCAACTTACCTCCCGTCCTCACGGCGCGGGATTGACGGCTGCGGCTCCCCCGTCGACTCTGCTTTCGAGCTGGTGGAGTTCCAGAGTCACCGGGGAGCGCATTCAGGGATTGATTTATCGTGTCTAGACGAGACGCGATAAATCGATCCCCGATAGATCGATCCGGCGGGTAGTGAAGACGTACCCTTAGTTAGTAGAACGCAGTCTGGCTGTGGCCACCTGAAGTCATTTATGCTACTGGTACCTGCTCTGGGGTAGATCTGTAAGGAACAGTTTTAAAGACCCAAACAGGCCCCGATGTACATGTATATTTCAGTCCTGAGAGCAAATGCTTAATATGATGTGCTGACGAGTTCTGGCTACGGGTTGTATGAAATACAACTGAAAATATCATAGATGGATGCATCTGTGTTGTTTTTAATACAATCTGCTCTCTACAGTCTGCCCTGCCCTGGTGAGCAAGCGAGCATATGGTCCCCTCTTTCTTCTAGCGCCGAAGCTGCAGCTGCCCCTTTTTACATTTCAGTGATGTTTTGAAACAACCCCTGGATTTGTACGGCGGAAGCGTGATTTTTATGGCTGGTAAAGCCCTAGCCAAGTACAGCTAAGGCTGCTGAATCAGCAGATGTAACCGTCCCCAGCGAGTCGACGAATGACTGCGTTTCCAAATTGAGTTGGGAGGGAGCACAGCGTCCACACAAGACTTAAACTGTCTGGCAACGCAGGCCTTTTGAAATAGTTATTTAAGTGAACAAATCACCAGTGAAATAGCTGATGGCGAGCACAGTGGGTAGCAAAATCACTTTGCTGGCAAGAGCTGCCACGTGCAGTCCAGTAGAATGTCTAGAGCGTACAGATCGCTGTTCATAAACCTGCCCTCACAAAGAGAATCCCCCTCTCGTCTCGTTCCCATTTGTACCTGCCTCTGTCAAAGAGAGGGTACGTGGAGTGGACGCTGAGTCACTGTCAAGAGCGTAAAGGGCCCATTCTGATTAAAGTGCTCTCATTCTAGCATGCAGATTCCTCATGTCTTAAGAGTGGCCTTGTAGGGGAAGGGAAAATTCTCTGCCAAGAGACACTGGAATCCTCTCTCCCTTTCGGCAGCCATGGCCTTGTCTACGCTGGTGGTGGCATGTAGGATATATGTAGCTACATACTGCAGTGAAAAGCAGGCTGCATCCCCACTGCGATGTGTAACTATCTTTCAGGCTCCGGCTGTGGGGAACGGGGTTAAACTGTGTCTGAGCCGGAATGGGATGAGTGAGTGTAACTCCCATCTGCTTTGGCGGTGTGCTTCCCCAGTTAGAGTATAAAGTAAAGCAGAGCGTCAGCACCCATCCAAACCCAGCCATCTGGCAGTGCTGGGGACTGCCTTGCTCTGTAGCAGTACTGGTGCAACCTACTGATTCCTCTTTGGTTAGCTGTTTCACGGCTGTCCTCTCCCTGCCCTGTACTAGTTCTTGCATCTCTGTCCTTTGCTCCTAGCTTTGACACAAGGCCCATAGCTGCCTGTCTGCCTACTTCTCTGGTGAAAGCGAAGAGTGTTTGTCCCAGGGCATGAGCCTTCCTTCCAGCCCTTCTGAATTCACATGCTAATAAGCTGCTCCTTACAGGGCAGGCCGCTGCTTACTAGCATGTGAATGCAGCAATTAGACTGGCCCCATGGGGGAGAGAATGGAAATGTCCCCAGCAGATAACCTCTCTTGGCCAGGGTGGGCCCTTTTTCAGGGAGACCAATGAGACTCAAGTTCATGTGCATTGTCCTATTTCAAGCGTCCACCTAGATGCCAATTGTCACCTATTTCCCTCTCCCCTAAATCACAGCGGGGCACATCTCAGGAAGGGCCGTAAGTGAGGCCAGCCCGCGCTAAAATGGAGAGCAGAGAGAACCTTGGGGACAGCAGCCCCTGATCTCCTTCCCTTTTAAATAAGTGACTACGTCGCATGTAGGGCTCTCAGAAATGCAGTGCTGCGTGAACACCCTCTGGCTTTCTCTCACCCAGCTTCGGCGTCATCCCCAGCACTCCGCTGGCCATTCATACTCCGCTGATGCCAAACCAAAGTATCGACGTCTCCCTTCCCCTCAACACCTTGGGACCGGTCATGAAAATGGAGCCTCTCAACAACCTCCAGGTAAGCAGCGTCTGTTGCTACGTTGGGGGCCTCACAGCTCAGTTGTCTTCCTCCCGCTTCTACTAGAGGTCGCCTCTGTTTGGGGGCTCCTCCGCAGAGGAATGCAAAAGTTCACTGAAATGCTGAGCATTGGCTTGGGGACTTCTGGCCAGCAATCTGTTGGAAATGGTGGGGAGGGGCGGTTTGTAGCACTTAGAGGTGATCTATGTCCTCTCTCATCCTGCAAGTTCACAAACCTAAACTGACATGCAGGGCTCACTTGATGCCACTGCATTGCAGCCACCTCTTGGGTGGGACATGGCCAAGAGTGTGCAGCAAGGCTGCTCGGTGTAGGACAGGAGGCGAAGATGATTCCTTGGTTAACTGGAACTGTAGCGGGGAGGCAGAACGTAGTTACCAGAGCTGGGCTTTGCCCTGGGTGCTGGGCCAGTCACTCTCAAGGCTTGTATTTAACACCTTCTCCAAAGGCTGTGTGCTCTTCTGATTACATGGAGTTAAAACAAACTCCTCTTTGATATTTTAATACCCCTCCTTCCCAACATCTTTATAGCAGGAAAACGTAACCCTTTTAACCTCCGATCCAAGCCACACTGCGTCAGAACATCTGCCTTCTGCAAAGTGGCAGCTTGTGACTCATGACGTACATAGGCACTCTGGAACAAAACCGGGGAAGTTGGCCAGTGAAACATGGAAGTTCTGCAGAGCCCAGATGCCATGTGGTGTTAATGTACAGAACTGAAAAGCCACGTGCACTAGGCAGTCGTGCAGAGCTATGCAGATTATCCAATAAACGAGGGAGGCTGGGTTTGCCATCTTTCCTCCTCCGAAAGGGAAATACCCATCTTGTTTCATCTCCCCCAAGGAGTGACTTGCTTGTGTTGTACCTGTTCGTTTTGGCAGTAAATAAGCCAGCCCTCTTGGAGCTGCGTGAATACAGCGGATTCAGGTGTGCTCCAGACAACGTACATATGGAGCTAGTTGAGAGGGCAGGGTGGGGATTTGCTAGGCTTGCCAAGAGCCAGGCTCGAAGGAGAGGAAGAGCCGCGAACATCTGGAGTGGATCCCCATGCTGGGCGTTAATTCAGCTCAGATGATGGCTTGAGATGTAAGAATAAAGGAACCCGTGGGAAAGATGGTTGCTGCTGAAGTGATTAAATATTTATCTAGCCCTGCTAGTTTTAAGTGGTGCTTCCCCGAGATCATTGGCACTTTCTCTGCCCCGAAGAGCTACGGTCTGGGAAACAGAGGGTAAGGGGTAGTTAATGTTACATTAATGAAGCTGTTTTGTATATTTCATTTCTCAGGCCCGCCCTTCTCACTGTAATGCAGGGGTTGGTAAAGCAGTTCTCCCTCCAGGGGGCCTCACTGCTTCCCTTAGTGCAGCTGGGGTCAGATATTTCAGTGGCGATTCTGGGGCCTTGGCCCTGCTAGGTTTATCTATGTTGCATTCACCTCACCGGTCAGGCAGATGCAGCTCTCAAAGTCTGCAGTAGCTCCCTGTTTCCTGGAAGCTGCTGGTTAGTGGTTCCCCTGTCTATAGCCTGTTATATCTATGCATCTCCTGGGTAGAGACTTCTCGTATCCAGTAGATGCAAATGATCAGTTTCATATCGCTCAGTGACTTGATCTGGGGCTGGGGGAGGTTGGTTTGGTCTCCAGTTGCATTAGGGGCCCAGACGGAGTGGAGCACTTCCCATGTAGAGAGAGTTCTTACTCCCTCCAGGGTTTAAACAAATGCAATGATTAAATTGTAACTTTCATCTGCCTGAACAACAGTTTCCTTCTCTTGACTGTTCCGCTCCCTGGCTTATGACTTATTAATGAGTCTTCGGGCAAACAGCTAGAAATAGCTCCACTGCTTAGTTCCTGAGGCTCCGAATTGGCATCACATCAAGAGTGGTGCAATAGCTGCGTCTGCATGAGTGGAGCAGAGATGAGCAGTTCCCCTACCCCATAGACCCTCGGCAAAGTCACGAGGTTAGGGAGTACGTGGATGAGCTGCACGTGATATCTCCCATGCGGGGGCCTTTTCTGCTTAGCGAGAAGGAGGCAGGGCAGGGGGGTTGATAATGCCCTTGGAATCCATTCCACAGAGGGAGGAGTTGCAGCATTTTGCACCACGGTGTAGGAGACCCATACAGGATCACAGATTTCCCAGGGCCAGGAATAGTTAGGCATGTCAAGGTGGTGATTACATCAGTTTGGTTCAGCTGTTATGAACATTAGCTCATGGGGACAGAATGGGCGAGTCCCAGACCTTCTAGATCTGGCTTTGGACACGAAGGGGTGTCCCATCAACCAAAAACACATACGGAAGCCACTGCTTCCTTTGATCAGAAAGGAGATGAACTATTGGGTTCCCATGAAACCTCCAAAGACATCCGAATGCAGTTTGTTTCTAGCAGAAAATGCTACAAGAATAAAGCAGAGCGAAAACATATGTGGAAACCTCCAGCTGCCTTATTTGGAAATAAGCAGAGCATTCGTTAGTGCCAGATCTGCTCGCTCGTTGACTAGCTACCTCATTGCCACACAAGTTGGCTGCCCTTTTACAATCAGGGAAGCTGCCATCTGGAGTAATAGTATCTCTCTCAGCTGAGAGTTGAGTCACGCTGGTAACGGAAGCCAAGTGAAAAAGTACGGTTGTTACTCTCCAGACAGCAGTGGATTTGATGGAGATCTGTCATTGTGCGGTCAGCACCCAGCTCTGGAATGGCATTCTTTGTGTTTTCCCACAGAAATAATGACTTTTAAAACATCCTACAGAAATCACTGTGCCTTACTGAGAGAGCAATTTATAGCAAAATATAGGGACTCCTGTATTTCCCTACACCTATTTTCATTGAAGACCGAAAACTCTCAGTAAGTTGAGTGCGATATTGCATGGGATTTTCTGTGCATGGAATTGTTAGGAACCAGTGTACAGGAGTTGTTTGAACTTTAAGGCCCTTAATTTCATTTTTTTAATTCTCTTTTTTTGTTGCAGTAACAGAAAAATAAGCCCTCAGGCAACCAAACTCATCTCTAACTTCCCATGGCATGTGAACTAAAAACTTCAAAGGCTAGTAGTTCATTCTGCAGGCAGCAATTTCAGAAGTAATGAGTTTGTCCTGTTCCTGTTGTAATTTTATGAGAATCTTATTCTCCACTACATGGCGTTTAATTTTTACCTCTTTCCTAATCAACGAAAGTGATCAAAGCACTTGACACGTTAACAAAAACCAACACATTAGAGAAGGGAGAACTGAATGTTAAGAGATCTACTTCCGCAAGATGCAATCAGGGTCCACGCCCAGCATTAACAGCCTTCTAGACTGTTTACCAGTAGTCCTGCTGTGTATGATAAAGGATAACACACTCCTTCCCTCCTCACCCCAACCTAATATTGAAAATGGTTGTAGTCTGCTGATGGGAACGGTCAGCCAAGTTCAACAGCTATTGTAGCAAAGTTTGATTGACCCTTAAAGGATGAAGCCAGATGTAAATACAGAAGCATCTTGGCCCTGTAGAGTTAAACAGACTCCAGACCCCACTGTGATTCATTGTATTTATATCCCTCTTACATTCCCCCAAAAGAGAGCTTGTGCCCGCAAAGGGGGCCGTGATACCGGCGAAAGATTGACACTTAGTGCTTGAGAGTAAAAAGCAAGGCTTTACTGAAGGAAGAACTTATATTTTAAGTTGCGTGGGGAGTTTTTGAGGCGCGCGGAGGGGCTGCGGGGGATTTTGATTGGGATAGTTGGTTAGGTAGGATTTTATTGAAGGGAGTTTGCTGCAATGTTATATTTTTGTGTGTTTATTTTAAGGTTATATGGGGTTAATAGCTGGCTACATTTTATTTATAAATTGTATTTATAAATAAAATAAATGTAACCAACTATTAACCCCATATAACCTTAAAATAAACACACAAAACATATAACATTGCAGCAAACTCCCTTCAATAAAATCCTACCTAACCAACTATCCCGAACAATCAAAATCCCCCGCAGCCCCTCCGCGCGCCTCAAAAACTCCCCACGCAACTTAAAATATAAGTTCTTCCTTCAGTAAAGCCTTGCTTTTTACTCTCAGGCACTAAATATCAATCTTTCGCCAATATCACAGTCCCCCTTACGGGCACAGAGCTGCTATTGGAATGAGCCTTTTTAAGAGTGTCTGTTGCTAAATGAGATCTTCATGACTTAGTTCTCATTTTGTTAATTTCCATCAGTGCTGGTTGCTTAGGAACATTTTCAAATTACTTACTCAGCCTTTCATTGGCCGCCTGACATTTGACTTGATCTCACCACTGCACAGCGCTGGCTAAATCCAGTGGTAGTTGCTAGGCTCTTCTACCAGTGCCCAAAGATGCCAGGGCTGAGCTGGCCTTCAGAGGCCCCGGGTTGACTGCAGGCCAACGATATGCAGACTTGTTCGGCTTCTATTTTTCTTTCCTCACCTTGGAGCAAGGTGTGGAACCCGAGTGGCAGTTGCATCTCCCCTGGAGATCGCTGGGGCAGTTGCTTTCTCAAGTCTCTGCCTCAGTGCACATGGGATAAAGTAGTGGTTCTGCAATGAGAGCATGCGGTGGTTTAAAAAAAAAAAAATCCATTAATCCTATCCAAACTAGAGCCAGGTTTGGAATAAAAAAAGCCATGCTGGAATGCCTGCTGGGATCTGTCCTGTACCAAAGCGAAGCCCCAGTCCTAATACATCCCCATTCAAGGGTAGTTCAGAAATCCCCTCAATGTTGTAACTTCTGCATTATGCCGAGCAGCTCTGGGAGGAATTGCAAGTGTTGGAAGTGTCCTGCCCCGATGTACGGGATACTTTGTGAGGGTTTTTTTATGTTCAAGACAACTGCAGCTGCTGAACCATGAAATGAGTAAAGGCTTCTAAAATTCAGCGCCTTCTGTCACTTGAAAATGATGAGCTGTGTGTGGGCTGTCTCTCTCTAACCATCTTACCCAGAATTCAGGGCCAGTCCAGAGCCCATCTGCACTACAAAATCCACCGTC